TTGGAGGCCATCGCTAGTAGGTTGGAGGCCATTGCTAGTAGGTTGGACGCCATCACTAGTAGGTTGGAGGCCATTGCTAGTAGGTTGGAGGCCATCGCTAGTAGGTTGGAGGCCATCGCGATTAGGTTAGAGGCCATTGCTAGTAGGTTGGAGGCCATCGCCATTAGGTTGGACGCCATTGCTACTAGGTTGGAGGCCATTGCCAGTAGGTTGTAGGTTGGAGGCCATCGCTAGTAGGTTGGAGGCCATTGCTATTATGTTGGAGGCCATGGGCCATTGCTATTATGCTGGAGGCCATCGCTAGTAGATTGGAGGCCATCGATTGCATCATCATGGTGCTTTACAGAAAGAGCGACCCTGATGTTTCCAATCACCTGCAAGCGCAAATGTGTATCAAGGAGCCTTTTGACCTTTGCCAAAGCAATGTTTTTCTGCTCAGGGAACAAATAGTGTTGATGCACCGCGACGCGTTCCTATGCACCGAGAGCAAGGAAAGTCCCTCAAAAGAACAGAACAGGTCCAAAGACAAAGAAAAGAACAGGTAGGCAACGGTCCAAAGAAAACAACATGTAGAAAACAAATGAAAACAACATGTAGTTTGGAAACTGCGACCGACGAGCACCACTTGCGGGCGAAGTGAGCCCGAACTGCCGATCGAATCATCGGAAGGTCGGTTTATAATGAACAATACCAACGATAGCCTAAGCAAACAAATTCTATAAAGGTCCAAAGAGACCACTCTATTCTTTATTGTCATTTGTTGCATGTTTCTTTGTGTTTATGTTGATTTTTTTGTATATTGTTTGTCTAGACATTTCATATTTTTTCCCTTTCTTCCTCCAGCTACTAGTAGCAAGGGCGCAGAGTATCCCTCATCGTGAGAAACAGTCCGTGATGCAAAACCCTACAGCTTCATTGATGATGCCGGAACTCAGGTGCAAGCACGCAAGAATGATGTGAAACACCTCAAAAGAGAGTTCTCTTGTCGTGAATAGTGCGTGAACTATCCTGGGTCCTTCCTAGTAGCGTTTGTAGCTAGGATAGGAGCTTACTCCCTTATTTAGTAGGCGCCTATTTAATTGAGCAAGGGCGGGCTAAGAGGCACAAAGAGAAAACACAAGTCCATGAGCATTCAGTGCTGTTTGGAGTAGCCCTGTGCTGGCTCACCCGTCGACGGGATTCGGACAGGTTGCCCGGACGGTGCCAAAGTTGCCTGTGCTGGGCTTAAAGGTGGGAAACTTGTGGACTTTCCAATTTGGAAAGATGACAGTTCAGTGAAAGACATGTTATGTGAAGATTGTTCAGTGAAAGATGACACATGTCATGTCTAGGTCGTAGGCTTCGGGTCATGTTTGAAGCGAAGACCCTGTTTTTTTTGGGTGCAAGTGGAACCTTGAAGCATGCCAGGCCTCTCATACTGGCACCTTGGCTTGGTTCTTGTACGGCAATCCCCAATCAGAACAGTGAGTCCCCTCTCAAATGTATTGGACATAGTTCCCATCTATTTTGGAACATTCCAAGTGGCAGGAAGAGTTTGTGGGCCACAGGTCTTACAGTCAACTATCACTTGAGTCCTCTTACTATCAAGCTTTCCTAAGCTCTGGCCTTCGGCCCTGCTGGCCTCAGACTTTGCAGATTAACAGTGGAATCACATGCCCAGATTGCGCCGACTGGACCAAGGATCCAAGGCAGATGAATGACGCGAAAAAGAGGGCCTCCAAATGCTTCCATGACTGGATCACATGCTTGTATCAAGCACTTGTTCGTGCGCAGTAGGTGGATCGACAAAGCGAACATCAGCTACGTTCTTTTCTCAAAACCGTATGCAGATCAAGTGACTCAACATTTTGAACATTCAGACCCCGCAAGACGTCGGGAAAGACAATTGGAAAGGCTAGAAAACCATGGACAGATACAGTACAACAACAGTACACAACAGTTCTAGAGCGTTGGAGGCCATCGCTGCATAGCGTTCGTAGGTTCTGACGGTCGGTGATGGATGTCGGCGGCGTTCGTCTCATGGATCTGGGTGGTGCCCGTCTTCGGGGCTTGGGAGGAGTTGACTTGCACAGGAGGTTGTTGCCTTTGGAGCAGTACCTCATGGCGAAGTCAGAGCACTTTTTGTGAAGTCTCTCGACTGATACTGTCTGATTTGATCGTTTTTCGTCAAGTTTCAATAAGAGCACCGGTAACCCCACTGACCTTGCGCCCCTTGATTCTTTTGTGCCTGACGCAAAGGAAAAAATCATAGTGTTGGACAATTTGTTGGAGGCCATCGCTACTAGGAGCGATCGGACGCTACTAGGGGCTCCTGGCGTCGCTACTAGGAGCAAGGACGCTAGTAGGTTGGAGGCCATTCCTATTGGACAATTTGTTGGAGGCCTAGGTTGGAAGCCAATCGCTATTAGGACACTGACAGTATTCAGATGCGCTGAGGATCTCATGTCCGGCTTCCTCTACAGTCCCGACTTTGACAGTAGCACAGGACATTCCTTGAGCTTCAGCTATACAGGCCAGCTGGAGCTCGAGTGTTTGAACAACTCAAAGTGGGTCAGCATTTGGAATTCAGATCACCTGGACCTCTCAGAGCACTTCGCTTTGGAACGTTTCCAGAAAGCCGTCGTGGAGCTGCCGTCAGAAGCATCTGCAGTGCGCTTCAAAAGTCGACCTTTTGCCCAAATCAATCAGATCATTGCAGAGCCCTTCAACTCTTTCCGGCAATTGGCAGCTGAGGAGGGGGCGGGGGCACCCCGCTATTCATACGCAAATTGGGTTCAGATCCACTTCAATGATGGGCCTCCAAGTAGGAGATGGCACACGGGTGTACTAGATGCAGCTGGCAAGATTTGGATCTTTGCTGGGGAGAACAGTGGACAATTGCTGAATGATTTGTGGCACTTCAACACTGCAGTTATAGAAGAAGGGTGGGCTGAAATCGATTCCGCAGATGCTTGGCCAAGCCCTCGTTTCAGCCACATGGCTGTGATGGAGGGACAGCGAATGTGGGTGTTTGGTGGCGTGGTTCAAGGTGGATTAAGCAAAGAACTCTGGAATTACGATGTGGATCTGGGCACTTGGACCCTTTGGAAAGCAGATTCCATCTCTCCCACTGCTCGTGAAAGCATGACCATGATCAGTGAGGCCAAAAGTGGACGTCTGTGGATGTTTGGAGGCTATGACGGCAGTCCAAGGAATGATCTTTGGTTCTTCGGTACCCATGATCCGACGCCCGCTTGGACCTTGGTCTCGCCTGGACCTGGGTCGCTTCCTTCGGCTCGTTTCAGTCAAGTGGCTGTGGCCGAATTCGGACGAATGTGGATCTTCGGAGGCCTAGGCTTAGAAGGCCTGCTGAAGGATGTGTGGTATGTGGACATCGGTGACTATATCAACAGTTCTTCTGGGTCTGCCACTTGGACTTCGGTCACCTCCCGATTGGAAGGCCCCACTGCTCGAGAAAGTGCTACGGCTGTGACCAGTTCTGGGGAGATGTGGCTCTTCGGAGGGATCGGCGAAGACACTGAGACGACTGATACAGATAGCGGTGAGCTTTGGGTGTTAAACCTGGGTGAAGCAGAAGAACGCACTGAAGGAGAGGAAGGAGAGGACAGGCCTAGTTGGCGTGAAGTGGACTCCGTTGGTCCCAATGGTCATCAATATCATGTCGCGGTGTTGGACACCATGGGTCGAATGTGGTGTCACAATGGTGAGCTCTGGTATTTCGACACCAACCCACTAACATCAACGAGTCAAAGCAGTTCGTCCACGAAGACAAGTGTGACCAGCACGGTTTCAACCTCCACTTGGACCTCGACTTCCACCTCAACTGGGACATCTTCGACCTCCTTGACCAGCTCGTCTTCCAGTTCCACTTCCAGCAGTTCCACTTCCAGCAGTTCCACTTCCAGTGCCTCTTCCAGTTCCACCAGCTCTTTCACTTCCACCAGTTCCTCATCCTCTTCTTCTCGAACTCAGACCACTTCTAGCAGCTCTTCAACGACCACTTCCTCAAGCAACAGCAGCACCACCTCCTCAAGCTCTTCAACTTCAAGCATGACGACCTCCAGCACCAGGACTTCAACACATTCATCTACAAGCTCTACCTCTTCTACCTCTCAAACAAGCACCTCAACACTTTCTAGCACAACAAAGACTAGCTCTTCAACTCTCTCAAGCACGTTCACCTCCACGGCTAGCAGCAGCAGCAGCAGCTCAAGTGTCAGTGTCACTTCAACAAGCAAGACCATGACATCGACTTCGAGCACAACCCTAGTGATTTGGCATGCAGCTTGAAGCGTAGAATCACATCCCAGAGTCCACAACTATTTTTGAAGCTCGAAAACTGTTTGATGTAAACAGTAGCAGTAATACATGCCTACGTTCACACTTTTTCTTCTCCACGCTTGGGTTTTGGTGAGAATCAACCGCAGTCGACAGTCGTAACCCAAGCATTTTGCAGCCATTGCAGGTGAAAGATCTTGCAACGGCACTTCATGATTTTCTTCTTTCCCAGGTGGAAGAGACCTTGGACAATTTGACGACAAATCAGAGTTTGATTGAAGTTTCGCCTCACAGATCTATGGCGCTGGTGACTTTTGGAAAGAGAAAACCAGAGAACGAGAAGACGGAACTGGAACCAGTGGCGGGTGTTGTGATCAAGGACTCTTCGATGCCGCTGTCAGTGCCCCGCTTTTCGTCACTGGCCGACCTGCCTGTGTTGGTTTCGATGTCGATCAGCGAAGGGTCGGTGCCAGGTGTCGATCTGCCAAAGGTCGGGTCGGCCGTGAGCACTGCGGATGGGGAAGTTCAAGTTCTTGCCGGACCATTGGTGCAAATCTCTTTGGTGGATGCAGCTGATGTGACATCTTTGGATGTGGTGAAGATGAATTTGTCAGCGCCACTCATGTTTCGAGCATCTGAAGAGCCAGTGGAAGGTGTGACATGCCGCTTTTGGACGAAGTCCGGATGGTCTGTGGAAGGAATGGGAAGCCCATCACCAGAAGAAGTGCAGGAGATATTTGCCGGTATGGATGTGACTGGCAGTTGGTGTACCACAAATCACCTTTCAGTGTTTGCCATTGTGCGACCATGTACTTTTTTGGAGTCTTTGCAAGCTGGTGAGAAGTGTTTTAACATTCCAACTTTTGTGGCCTTGCTGGGTGGCAGCGTGCTTTGCTTGTGCTGCAGCTTCTGCGGTTTCTATGCCACCATGAAATCACGGCATGTGGTTGGTGGAAAGATGGAGCTAGCAGACCTTCAAGGCTCTTCACACAAAGTGCCTTTTCACGTGAGGCGGCCAAGTAAAGAGATGAAAGAACAGCAGGATATCTCCCAACCAAAGACCTTGGTTACTTGGGAGGTGCAACCAGAAGCCTTACAGGCGACGGGCTTTTCAAAAAAGCATCGATTCCTGCAGCTCAGGACGAAGTTCTTCAGCGAGCGGAATGATGATGCGAGCTTTTTTTCAGATTGTCCCGAGAAGAAGTGATTCCATTTTGACCTTCCCTGAAACGCCTGAAGTTGAAGCACCTCTTGACCACAAGCAAGGCGAACTGGGAGACCAAGGCGAGTGTCCGCCAGCTCTCAGTCCGTCAGGCCTTCAGCTCCACGAGGTTTTTACACCTGGGACCCAGGTGGAGTTCTTTTCTGAGACGCACCAGAGATGGGCACACGCTTCAATCGAAGGTCCTGGCTTCTTCACGACGTCCTCGTCGGACTCCGAACCATTGCCCATGTACAACGTTCGCCTTGGCCGCCAGATTCGCAACTGCATTGCTGTAGAGCGATTGCGCCTTCCATTCCAAAGAGGGGATCATGTTTCGGTGGAAGTGGATCAGCATTGGCAAGCTGCCATGGTCTTGGGAAAGCGGAGTTGGGCCAGTTGGCCCTTGGCGTATGAGATTCAACTGATGTCCTCTTCATCGACCTCTTCATCGACCCTTGCAGCTCGTCAGCATTTGGTGCTTCAGCTCGTCAACGAATTGCGTACGTTCTCTATTACCCTACAACATTTATTTATATTTCTCTATCATATTGATTTTAGCGGCCGGTGGGCAGAAGTTTTCTAGAAAGGATGCAGCTTTATTCATGTCGTTGGTTTTTGTCAAGTGCAAAGTGATGATGATGTGATGCAGTGATGCGATGCATCAGATTTGTGATGGTGTAAATTGATGCGTGGTGATTTCAGATTAAATTCCAACTCGCACAGGTCTTTGGATGGTTGGGTAATGTTGGGTCTCACCAAGCAGCACCGGTAAAGGCCAGCACCAATCGCATAGATTCACACAAAACAAAGCTACTAGGACTAGGGTGGAGGCCATCGCTATTGGGATGGAGGCCATCGCTGTTAGCAAGAAGCTAGCAGGTTGGAAAAACAGCAATGCAGCAACATGGCACCGCCGGTGCGGCGCCGTTCCACCGTTCTGCATGCAGCGACTTTGCAACGGCGAATGCCTTGCTCTTTGTAGTCCACACGCGTGTGAGTTTGACTGCAGTGATTGCACACAGATTGATCAAAGATGATCAATGCATTGTTTCTTGATATTCCAAAGTCAGTACAATATGTGCGCACAATCTTCATTGAGGCGACGATAGGATACATTTGTCAACATGAGCCCCAAATAGGCACAAACTGCATGGCCATAAATGGTGTCCAGTGGTTTGCAACGATTTGAATAAGTAGTTTGCAACCTCTTCCAAGTGGACGAAATGTGCCAAACCTGAATGATATATAACAGGATCACATGTGCATCGGAGCCAGTAAGAAAGCTTTCTATCTCTTTTCTGGCCTTGAAGACTGACAAGGCCTCCAAGCACATCCCCGAAGGGAATCGATCATTGGCGCAGGGGTTCTGTGGTACCAGTACAATTTGACACAAACCGACCTCTTCCACGTCCAATAGCGAGCACATGACCCGTTGGCATGATTCAGCTCGGTTTGTGTGCTGCGAAAATGGCTCCAGATCTTCGTCCTCTTTTGCAGCTGCTTTTGAGTAGATTCTGAACAACCCAGTGCTAAGGCCGCCAGTTTGCAATGTGTTTGCACCCTCACTTGGAATTTCTATCGCTTCATACCCCTTCAGCAACCAAGCTTTGAAACTCGTTTGCAGTCTGCAAGAACTTTGTGGTGCCATGTGCAAAGAGTATGACGTTGAAATACTTCAGTTTTAAATACAACGATCGCTATGCTCGGTGGCCATCGGTAGTAGGTTGGAGGCCATCGTGACAACTACAGTAACCGCAGTCGCATGAGACGAGTCAAACATCACCCACCAGCGCTCCCCAGTCATCCGAAAAACCACCCAAGCCACCAGCGCCGCACCTGTGGGACAACCCACGCTGGCACCTCATACGTTTTTAAACAAAGAACAATAATTCTGAATTGATAAAAAGAACAACAAAAAACAATTCTAGTTTCGTTTTGGATACTTGCTTCTATTTTGGAAATTGTGTTTTATGTTTCACATGCCAAGCCACCACAACCACTGTATTCAACAGCTACCCTGTTGCGCAAAATCCCGCATGTCTTCTCGCAACTTGAAAATTCTCTCATTGAAGAGTCATTGATGGTGTTCTTCTCCGGCTTCGCTTCGCTTCGCTTCGTGTTGCTTGCAGATCTTGCAGGTGGAGCCTGCAGAGAATGTTCGTGTGAGGCATCCGATCGGTGAACATGTTTTTGTTTTTCAAGGTGCCAGCAAAGGTTGGGCACCTGCAACAGTGAAAGGTACAGATGAACATGTGAACTCTTGGCCAATGGTTCCTGTGTGTTTGGAAGGAACCAGCGAGATCATTCCGGTTTTGCACAGTTTGGTTCGCTCTTCGTCCAAAATGGATGGATTTCCAACTTGAGCTAAAACGCTTTGTACGCTTATCGAATTAAAATTCTGGGCCCCATTTGACGTGGGTTCAATGTCATTGTGCAAATATGCACATGTTGCAACAATCCTCTTTTGTTGAGATCCTACGAAGACAACAACATCTTCAATTGGATCCCGAGCTGAAGAAACCAATAATTGAATGGCTTTTGACATAGAAAACGTCGAACATGGACATGTACTAGTAACATGGACATGTACTAGTAATATCATATAATATCTAGTTATAACTAGTTATTGAATAGAGCATTATTGATTGGTGTTTATACGTGATGGTTAGTTACTTTCTATTTCATTATTATTGTTCCTTTGTCTTGGAGGGGTAGGTTATTTCTATATAAAACAACGCACCGATTGGTCGTAATCGTAAATGCGCATTAACGACGATCGTAATCCCTTGTAAACGGATTTTTTATGCCCATTTTACGCATAGTATGGTTTTAGCTTTGTAGTCTTTTTATTTATTGTGTTTGGTACGATAGTTTTTATTTATCCGAAAAGCTTTCGAGAATTGCGAGTAATTTTGGATTGTCGTTTAAAGGAGTGGCACGAAATTGGTCTATGTGGAATATATATATGGTTTTATGATGTCGACGATTAATATTGGAATATTAATAATAATATTACGACGACAATATAATCGTAATTTATTTTTTTTTTAAATCCGATAACGATATTGATATTAAAATATATATATTGATGTACATAATAATATTGTTGCATCGATTTAGGAATTAATCGATAATAATATTATTGATAATTGCGTAATATCGATTATTTCGTATTACGAAATCGATTATATGGGGTGGGTTCGCGAAGCTTTACTATATGTAGGTTAGAATGTATTTGATTGAAATTTTAATTTGTTTGGTTAATTTTATGTGTTCGTATTTATGTGTAATTAAATTTTAAAAATTTCGATGGTATTATTAAAGGGTGGATGTATTTGGGGAATTATACACTAGTTTAAAATGTCTATGTTAATGACAATAAATAACAATTCTTCATTTGTTTTTATTACCAATGTGCAACACTAGGAATAAATATTATTAGGTAAATCTTTTTTTGTTTACAATGAATATAGCATTATGAGCGAATGAAGATACAATACTATATATCTCTAGATTTAATAGCTTTCTTCTGGATTTTTGGGAAAACAGATTTCTTAAATTTATGTATTTTTATTGAAGGAAAAACATTTGAAAGAAATATTTTTATTAATATTTATAGTTTTTTTAAAATACCATGAAGATCTAGAGGAAAACTTTTGAAATGAAAATTTTATATATATATATATGTTTTTTTTTTTTTAATAGAAATAATCAAATTTAGAGGGAACCTTTTGAATTAAAAATTTGTATATAAAACAATTTTAATATAGCAATGAATATTCTAAGAGATTATTTTAAATAAATGCTATTTATTCAAAAAGATAATTTGTATTTTATTCCTAGCATTCCTAGGGCAAAAAAATATTGTAAAATATAGGGTTTTGTAACATGTGTATTCTTAAACTAACTAAATTGGAATTAAAATAGAATTATACAAATTTAAATTAGAAGACTTCAATTACGATCCTTTTAATATTGATTGTGGAATTTACTATTTATTAGATATTAGATTGCAATAAAAATCATTTCCAAATTCTCTTTAAAATTCATTGCGGAAATTAGTTCTTACAATTCGATTTTAGTCAAAGTCCTTTTCAAAATTAGTGGTGGTTTTGATTTAATATCAAATTGTATTTAAAATCGATATAAAATCAATTATGGAAATCTATATTAAATAAACTAACATCTAATTATAAGAATTGATTTCCACCATTAACAATTAATTGAAAATTAATTTTCACAATCAGTTCTAAAAGGGTCTTGATTGATATCCAATACACAAGCAATTCAATCAAATTATATTGAAAAGAATTTAAATTAAAATCTAAACAACAAGCAATTTCCACAATGATTTTGAAAAGGACATTAATTGACATTTAAATAATGCCTAATTTCTATATAATAGGATTTTAATTGAAATTTAATTCAAAATCAATTGCCACAATGATTTTGAAAAGGCATTTAATCGAAATTGAATTCCACATTCATTTTTCTATGATTAATCTTGAAGAAATGTTAATTGAAATCTAATATAAATATCAATTTCCCCAATGATTTTAATAATAATATAAATGAAATTTAGATTGTAAAAAATCTACAATTAATTTTAAATCATATTTTTAATAGAAAATTAATGATAAATCAATTTCCACCAATAATTCTGAAAGCATTTTAATTGAAACCAAATACCAAAATCAATTGAAATCCAATTTAACATCAAATTCCTCCGTTAAATTTAAATGAATCAAAAACACTGTGTTTTACAGTGATTTCTTGCAAAATCCTCTCCAAAATTGAGGTTTTGAGCTATTTTTTGAGCAATTTTGTGAGATCCAAACCTATCCCAATTTAGAGGCAATACCAAAAAAACAAAGAAAAAAAAACAAAAAAGACAATGTTTGAGACAAAATGGGGTCACTATTGGTTTTTGGATGTTGGCTGCATTTTGTGTCAAACATTGTGTTTTTTTTGTTTTTTTGGTTTATTGTTTTTTTGGTTTATTGTTTTTTGTTTTTGGTATTCCCTCTAAATTGGGATAGGTTTGGATCTCACAAAATTGATAAAAAATAGCTCAAAACCTCAATTTTGGAGAGGATTTTGCAAGAAATCACTGTAAAACACAGTGTTTTTGTATTATTTTTTGCATGAAAAACATCTCCCAGGAGCACCCGTTCTGTATTATTACGGCATTTTTTGAGAATTAAGAAAAAATGCTTGTAGAAACGGAATTGAAAAGGAAGTAATTTTTTGTAATTTTTATTGAAAAATCTTTGGATTAGTGGGATTTTTGGTGTGATTTCGAATTATAGATTTATATAAATATATTGAACAGATTGGAAAGGAATATATTTTTTATTGATAATTGGAATTGAAATTTTTATGGATATATATTAATATTTTGGAACAACTATTCGATAATAATTAAATGAATTCTTATTTTTTAAAAATACACAAAAATATTTTTAATGTCGTTGTAATATGAAAATATGGATAGAATAATACATCCAATCATTATTGAAGATATAGATATTTATTAAATATTTATAAAATATGATATTTTAGATGATATAGATTCTGATTAACCAAAGGAATGTTTGAATATTAATTTTCATATATTCTTGAACATAGATTTCTTTAATTTTAATATATATTTTATGGCGCGATTCTAAAATATTATTATTTCGTATGAATAATACCTTATATGAGGAACATATTACTTTATTGCATCGCATATACAACCTTCGATTGGTCCCATTGGACGAGACCAGTATGGTCGAAGTCGCCACCGCCATCATTAAGGAAAGAGACGCGCGACGGACGGTCGCATGGAAAGATAATATCATGAATTTTTACCTGAAATTCGATGGATGGGCTACCAATTGAGGTAATATATGCGCTTTCTGAAGTTGCCCCAACCTGAGGGTTGGTGGTTCTCATTAGCATCGTTCGTACTACGATTTCAGACGTTATAGAAATTCCTGAAGTGCTTAGAAAACTAATTCCAATTGTTTGAACAATAAATGTATTCGAGGAAGGAAGGCCAATCTCATTGCTTCATATGGGTTTTATGCAGGACGTCCGTTAAGTATAGTTGTTTTTAATTTGCGTCAAGTGGTGATATTTGTGTTGAGATTTCCTATATTTAAATTAATCAAATCAATTTTTTGGGATTTCATCGTCGCAGATTTTGGTTCAACACATCATTGAATACAATGCGGGATTTTGTGAAAATAATCTTGACGTGATGCGGCCCCGTTAGCCATAGCCTTTGATTCGCTGCCGATGCTCGCTGCTTTCCAGACGGGTTTTGATCGGGAATTTCTACTAGGTCACCTAATTTGAGGCGCGTCTTTTCTCGAAACAAGAACGCGTGAAGGTGATCGATGAAGATCTGTTCAGACAAAATTTTTGCCTTTATATGGCTTTATCCGTCTTGGGATGAATGGACCTATTTGATTTCATCTCTGATGCGAGCTTCCTCCAGAATCAAGGCACCAAATGAATAACGCGAGCGCTTTCTTGCGCGGGCCTAGTAGCTACTTATTACTAGTACGTGACATACCTCCTTTGCATATTATTAGCTACTTGGCAAGCTACCTCATGACCTACCCAAAGACGATAACAATAATAGCAATAAAAACGAATAAATTTATACCTGAAAAAATTGGAGGGCAATCTTTTGGGTCAATACCAGCGGGTCAAGCCCTAAGTGCGACGATGGTTGGGGGCCATGTCTATCCAATTCGGCGGTAAAATATGAGAAGGCTTAAGCTTGTTGCAATTATCGATTAAAACCTTCCCAAAAAGACCGGATACCAAATCATTAGTGCGAGCCTCCGCTTCTTCAAGGAAACGTGAACTGTCTTGCATCTAGTTACTATAGAAGCTTACTCCCTTACTTGATGGTAGGCGCTAGGAGGCGGGGCCTCGGGCTAAAAAATAAAAAACAAGGAAATTAAAGGATATACACATAAAGGCGCCTCTTTTATTTTGCTTGCTGTCTTCTATTACAATAATTCGGATGATCATCTCCGATTTTACTGCGCCTGCGGCTCCTGCACTGCGCGCAAATGGCTAGGCAAGGACAATGTCTCTGTCTCCCATCACTCGTGTTGCGGCCGCGATGGCCTTAGTCAGGTGATTAGATGATATCCACCAGCATATTGGTGGATTATTCCCGGATTTGGGGGTGAAATATTCTTAAGAATAGAAATATGTATGACCCTAGATATAGGTCCCATTGAGATGATGAGATGGGTTTCCTGCCCGGTAGAAGCAAGATTCGCTTGCTGCAATTCTATGATGAAGATATCATTTACAGCGTGCGAGATGCGAATCAACACCAAAGGCATAATGTTGGGATAGATAGTTCTGTTCCTAAGGAGGCCACCGAAGTGTGGATAGAGGTCCCCGGCGCTTTTCTGAACCGCCGGGAAGGGACCCAAGTGCCTTGGCTGCATGGGATTTAGTCCGGGTGGAAGCCCCAAATGCAGCGTCAATTAAGGCGGACGTTCCATATATAAAAATTGCTGAGTGGCGTACGCATGAAGTACCTGGCATTTG